CCCCCCCCCCCCCCCCCCCCCCCCCCCCCCCCCCCCCCCCCCCCCCCCCCCCCCCCCCCCCCCCCCCCCCCCCCCCCCCCCCCCCCCCCCCCCCCCCCCCCCCCCCCCCCCCATATGCCGCTTGCTAACTCTGGTATCCAGCGCTCTGACCTTCTTGATACAGACATGCCGAGATGGCTCTAATGGGGAACAGTACCCGCCAAGACTCAACAACGGCACTTGCACGGGCCTAAGCGACAACACTTACGTGTAGAGTACTGTATACAGATGACGAAAAAGGCTGAAAAAGAGACGGCAAAGACGTCATGTAACTGGATTAATTGCCGGCTACTAGTCAGACAGCACTAAACGATACCTACGTTGCATCCGCTCCGTGCCAAACAAAACGAATCAAGATTTACCAGGTTAGCAGCGCTTTCTGATGACTGCTCTAGTCCCGCGTCAGCAGCCGCTGACGGCTGATCTATCAACACTGACTAGCATCTCGGCCTCGCGCGAAGACAACTAGGCCGGCAACCAAAGTCTGACTGCTGATAGGCGCTGATGAAAAGCTGGATGGTTGAACTCACAGCCGGCACCAAAACGGCAGGGACCGGAAACAGCAAATGGGCAAAGCCTCATTGTTTAGTGCTAACAAGCCGCCGATGATCCTACCGATGCTGGAAGCTGACGGCAAAAGTCATCATGCTCCCAGATGGATATTCCACAGAACAAGGTTTCTTTCCTTGGCTGGATTGGTAGTGAGGACAACGGGTAGTCGCGCTACTTTTTGAACGCGTGGACAGAGGAATCAGGCAAGCTCTGCGAGAGCATGACGGATGCGAGACGGGAACAAGACGGGGTCGCATGCCGCTGCCTGACTCAACACCCCACTGCCTGGTGTATAATTTGTGAGTATTGGCATCACGCGCATGATCACCCGGAGAGCTAAACGGACTGAGCCAGCCGCCCAGCGGCCAGTAGGCCACAACTTTCCGCATCATGAGTACCTTTTGCACGGCACGGAACACCTGCGGACTCGAGCGCCGTTCCCTTTCCCCCTTATGGCAAGGAAGCTGATGCCGATCTATAGTGAGAACGCCCACACTTTTCGCCTTGGCGGAGTTCCTATGGGTGTGACCGGAGAACTCGATGACAGTACTTTTTGAGAACGGGAAGCGCTGGGGTTCTTCCGTCCAATTCAACGCTAACCTAAAATCACTCTGCTAATAATCGAAATTCCGCTGAAACGTAGGATAGAAAAAAGGAAAACGGCAATCTTATGGAGTATTACACACTACGAACATGAAAGGAAGCAAAAAGAGCGTTACTAGTTATAGTGTTTGTTCTAGCTGTGATCTATCATGGTTGTTATCTATTGCTGGTAGAAATCAAGACGGAAAGCCTGGCGTTTGGCTATAGAACGAGAAAAGAGGTCAGTCAGGTAGCTGATTGGTGTCCAAGTGACGCTAGATGTTGGATGACGGCGTATGATGACGAAGTCAAGATGAACCGATAACGACCTTCCAAAAGCAATACTTGTCTTGCTACCTAGATCGCTGCAAGGAGATAGCAAGTAGAAGACAGAGGAACATGATCAAGGCGTGCCCTAGGTACAGGGTACCGCGTGAGACACTCGGGTGATCTAGTAGCCACACGAAGAAGCCTGACCACAACGGCGCCCCGATCATGGCCGCCAGCGTCTGGACAGTGCGGATGCTCATGTAAAGCTTTTGAACTAAATCCTTGTCGGACAAGGCGGTGGTGGCCAAGGAGCGCAGAGCATCAGACAGGCCTATGCCCGTGGCAGCAACGGCGACGCCCATGCCGTAGGCCAGTAGCGAGGGTGCCGAAGCGATGATTAAGACGCCCACAATGGTCACCATCAGACTGCCCAGGACGACCGCAAAGTCCACGGCTTTCTTGGTGTGCAGGCGCGGATGGAGAAAATACCTCGCGAGCCAGGGTAGGGCGAGGAGGGTCGCGGCCGAGATGATCTGCTCCATGGCCGTGACCTTGTCGATGTTGGAGATGCTTGTGTGAAAAGTGCTCGACGCCCACTGCTGCGTGGTCAGAGAGATGCATGAGGCCAGCGTGGTCCCGAAATACAGTATCATGACTGGGCGTGTGAACGGATGGCGGATCGTCTGGAGGACAAGCTGGATGGAAAGATGGAGATCGACCGTGGCGGCGCGTACTAGCGCGCGGAACATGGTCGGGACGGGCCCCTTGGGCGTCTTGTGCGCCCCCAGGGCGTTGCCGTGCTCCATCATTGGAGAGGAAGAGGCACCATGGGGCACCGATATTGCCAGAGCGTTGTCCGGCATCAGCGAGCGGCACTCCTCCCCCGAGGCGTCACCCTCATTGTAGGTCTGACTCGGCGTGGGGCGATCGCGAGGGAACGAGGCGACGAGAGGCACCAGCATGACATAGATGCCGACAATCAAGCCGCAGGTGATGAAGACATTAACATTGAGGAGGCTGGCGCTGATGAAAGTGCCCAGCGACGCGTTTCCAACCAGGATAGCGGTGAGGATGTTGAAAGTGCCCATCCTAGTATGTTTGCGCCCATGGTCAGTACAAGGACATCGTGTCTCACGAGGGGGAAGGTAGAGATATAGCGAAGATGAAAGAGCGAAAGGACAAACGGTGTGTACTCACATGCTGTCCCCAGGCACACTCTCTGCGATGTAGAGGTAGAGAAGGATTTCGCGCATCGGCACACCACCACCAAACAGGTCGAAGACGCAGGAGAGGAGCACCCAGCGGACATCCTGAATGCCGTTGTGGAAGTAGACTACAAGGCGGCGCGGACATTGTCAGGCTGGACAACACGGCATCAGAGTGCAGGCTACTTACACACGCTGGTATACCACACCATGCGCAAGACAAAACTGGTCGTGTTGAGGAGAAGAACATTCCTCTTGCCGACGATGGATGCAAGCTGTGTGTAGATGGGACCAGCCAGGAAGCCTGTATGTCATGATCAACAAGAGGACACGGGGTTGTGAGGGAACCAGCCAAGTTGCCCACCTGTGACAAGGATGGAGAAGTCGAGCGTGGTAGCGAGGACAGCGACGTGCGACTGCAGCATCTCGGTCTTGCACATGGCTTCGGGAATATCGCCATTGTGGCCCACGACGTCGGGGTCGTACGCCGTGTAGTAGGCGCGACAGAGTGACTGCTCAATTAGGAATGTCTGTGAAGCCCTGGTCATGGCGTAGCCGAGGCCGTCAAGAGCCATGGCCAGCATGGCACACGTCAGAACTCGGGCGCGAGCCGACGACATGGTACCACCCTGGTGGGACGGATGGGGAGAGTTAGATCTAGGGCAAGAGGTAGGCGTGTAGGAAAATATAGATATAAGGGGAGAGGAAGGTGTAGAGGGAGAGGTATCCATGGAGGAACTGGTCAGACGATAGCGGAGAAATGGATGTCAGAGGGGCGGTACATATTTACCAAGGGCAACTGAGACAAGGTTTGTTTTTGATGTGAGATTGGCGCTAGACATGGGTACGAACACCCACATCGCCAGAAAACGTTTGGAGTGCAGAACAAGCTGTAGATAGAGGATTTCGAGATATTCAAGTAACTAGGTTCGCGCCCTAAGAATCATCGGTAGCACGCCCGCGTATTCAGCGAATCACCAGCCATGCATGCCGTGCCGCGTTCATATCAACCAATCTTGCCATCTCTGGGTGCTACGGCGGCGGAGGGCATCGAGAGTGTCGCCCCCATCACAAATACCTAGCATTTTATCCGTGACGTAACCGGCAAGCTTCTGTGCCTCTGTCGACCACGACTCCACCTCTTCCCGGGTATAGCACGCAAAATCGCTCGCCTGGGTATCGTATCAGCACCAAGTCGGGCGTGTACCGGTAAGTGGGGAGGGCAGGTAGTCACCTCGGGTCTAACCCATGAGCGGCAATAGAACATGGCATACATGGTCCGCGGGTCTGGTGTCGTGTTGGCGCCTCCCGCATGGAGCGTCGAAGCCAGGAAGAGAAGCGCGTCGCCACGCGACAACTCCGCCGTCGTAAACTCATGCTCTTGGGCGCTTCTCGAATCCTCCCAGAGGTGGGATCCGGGTACGACCTTGGGGCAAACAGGGCATGTCAGCAGAGGCCTACCGAGAGTGACTGCTGTGTGCGCGCTGCAAAGAGGAAAGGGGAAGTATTCATCTGTTGCTTACTAATGTGGCCCCGTTTGCATAGGTGGTGTCAACGGCAGCGACCAGTATCCCAATGCCCAAGTCGGAACCTAGGCAATAACCCGTCTGCTCTTGGCTGGTGTGGACTTTCTGCCAGATGGCGTCGTCGCGATGCAAAGACTGGGCCTCACCATTCTCCAGGATGGTCATGCTGGCGGCCTGAGACAACATGGCATCGGTGCTGCGCTCGCTGGCGCTGCCGTGATCCACATCCAGAGGGTTGACGGTGCGTAAGAAATGGTTGACAACAGTCAGGAGATGAGGGTTCAGACACCACTGCTCTCTTGCTGTCGCACTACGCCCGAAGAGCAGCCCAGCATGCATACGGCCTTTGTAGCGTGTTCTCCACCCCTAGAGGCAACGTTCGTCAGGAGGTCGCCGTGATCGTTTATGGTCTACTTGCCTTATCGCCCATTCTGGACTCCATTACTTGTTGAACATCCTGGTATACCTGATGGAGTTGCTCTGGAGATGCGAAGTCGGTGAGAATCACGCCGCCATCCTTCTCAATCGCCTCGATGGCCGTCTTCGGAAGGCTGAGAGGAACCCGTCGTAACATGGTGAATGCGGAAGCAGGAATCAAAACCTACCTGAACTAGGATATCTCACAGAATCTATTAGAAGCGCCTAGGAGCGGGGTAACACGGTAGGCCTTGATAGGTCCCGGCGCCTCATGGTACGAGCAGGCTATGGGCTGTTCCGTGGTGTCAGTATGCGCAGGGGGGGGGGGGGGGGGGCAAAGGGGGG